ATCTACATGTACGTGTGTCACCAAAAGAGTTAGGAAATGAATGGGATGTAGGCAAGACCCAGGATCCATAAACAATAAACTAAGATTATGAAAGCATCTGTCTGGCACAAACAAAGAAAATGAACTGCGTAGAACGAATTTTGTACTGCTGTTCATAAGGAAAGCCTAATAAGAACACCAGGGTTTTTCCAGCAATCATTCCGTAACTTTGTAAATGCAAGGGAAACAGCAAAGAGCTAATAGGCAAACTCACAAAGCTGAAGTGGTTTGTTGCCAGCCATCTTAAATGCCTTTTTCTCCTTGGAAAATTTCAGTGTTGGAAATGACCCCAGCAATTTTTCAGTCATAGGCACCAGCTCCAAATTCACCTGACCCCACCTGCAGTAGGGCTGAGCCTACAGTGAGCAAACCTGGGGCTACAGTGTGCACCATGCACAGTCCTCCAGCACCCAGTGGGAAAAGACAGGAGCAAGAGACAGCACAGTATGTGACTGCTGATGTAAAGAATAGGAAAAGAAAGAAAACCACTGCTGCTCCTCCCTTTCTGCAACATAAGATTTGGAGGAAAGCTTTCATCCCACTCAACAGTTTCAGCATCAACTTTTACATTTTTCAGTGACAGCAAGTAAAAGCAGATCTGTCCTATGAATATGATGGAACTCCAGACAACTGCCTGCTATCTATTTACATTGTGAAATATTCATTAAAAATCAACTGTTAAGGGACCCATCTTGATAAACGCTAGACAACAGATGAAACCAAAAGAACTTCACAGCCCCCTGCCTTGCTGAATGGGGCCATCAGTAATTTTTAAGTAGTCATTTGTTACATTTTAATGTAACAGTTTAATCCAACTAATTTATAATCACAATGAATTAAGACAAAACATCAAACTACAGCCTCTTTGCCTGAGAGTAATCTAAACTGAAAAGCACATGACAAAAAGATAGATTGATGGTCAGTGCAAAGTAATTCCCTCAAGATTAATATATTTTACCAAGTTCATGTTTCTAGTCATAATTATATTCCAAGAATCCATTGACTGATGCTAGATGAGAAAGACTCCTTAAGAACAGCTGCTTGCTTTCTAGAAAAAACTGCATTTGTTTGCAATACAGAGGGGACAGCTGACAAGAAAAACCAAACATATCACCACACTGTTACCACTATACTGACTATGCAAATAAAACCATAAAACTTCCTTGAAACATTCTCAAATACATTTTACAAAGACATGTTTTTATCATGACCAGACTTTAAAAAGCATGAAAAAGCAAAAAGATGAAGTCCAATGAATCCAAACTCCACACAAAAGCAGGGCAGATCCTGAGTCAGATGAGATGACCCAGGGGCTTGCCCAGCCGGCAGTGGAGCATGGGGTAGAGCCCCAGGCCTGCAACCAGCAGCTAGCAGGTTCTGCACCCTCCCATGCCCTGCTACATGCAGGAGCCAGAGGAGGCGAGGCAAGGGCACATAAGAGGTTGGGAGATTTCTGAAACGGGGTGGGCTTTCAACAGTTCAAAAAACACCTCCTTGAGTCCCATCCTCTATACAGTTGAGCTAAAGTTTGCTCTTGGATGTCTTGATTTTGGTTTTTTTTTGAAAACATGACACACAGAAAATCAGGAGTCATCCTTACACCATTAAACTCAGTGTTGTTCATCACTTTTCCAGCATTAAATAACTTAAAACATCATTAAACCTGATCAACTGAACTGCCCAGTGTTATTTCTAGGAGCTGTTCATGAAACCACAGTGTGAGTCGTGTGATTGCACCCATGGTCACTCGTTAAGTACAACCCAGATCTGTGCTTTTCCAATCTGAACAATCCCTTTAGTTCTGCTCTCTGACCTTCTTTCAGTCCTGTTTACCTGGTTTTGAAGTCTTAGATCTTTATTTTGCCCAGAACCTTTGAGCTATAGTTTTCCTCTGTCAGTTATCCATTTCCTTGCCAGCTCCTACCCAAGTCTCACTCCTCCTACACCCCCATTCAGCCACTGTACACTGAAAAACAAACGTTAAATATCTGATTCAACAGACAAATGAACCTCTGGATGCAGCTGTCAGTATTATGGAAAATGCAGAAGTATTGTAAGTTGCAAGCATTCTGTATACACATATGCTGTCAGGTTTACTTTTGCATTTTTTTTTCTGCTAGGTATTTATCTAACTTCATTTTATGAGAATAAGAATTATGCCCATTTTTCCTTCATCAGTTGCCTATATGCTTGGATATCACTTATTTATACAACACCACGTTTACATATATTTTGAGGCAGGCCCAGGAAGACCTTAAATATACCAATATAACACACAGTCAATGCAACACAAGTTGTTTACACTCCCAATAATACAGCAACATTTTAATGTTAGCAGCGAAAATCTTTCAAAACTAGATTAGTAGAGGAGCAATAAAACAAAAAGCTAAGGCAGGGTACTGGCTGAAATCCAATCTCTTCCCTATTGGAGCCAGAACTTTTATCAACTGATCATAACAGTGACCACAGAGAAGCCTTCTCCATCTCTGTTGCTTAAGCTTTCTGGAATCATTTCTTCCCAGAAAAGGAATTTTTAGCTCAAACTTCAAATTCCTCCATGTAACCACTTTTTTTTTTTTTTTTTTTTTTTTTTTTTTTTTTTTTTTTTTTTTTTTCATTTACTGATACGATTTAATCACGGTACTTTCCTAACATAAAAGACTACCAGTAGGATTCAGAGTCCTACATTTGCAAAGGCTGCCAAACAGAATACATGTGAAGAAATAACTCAGTACCCCTTTCCTTATCTGCACATATTTAGAGCAGCTTCCCCACAATTACTGTGGGATGTCATCAGAAGGGCATGAGAGAGTGGAACTATGGCTTGACAAGAAAGAGGTCACCCTGTTCTCCAGTTCTTCCTTCCTCATTCCACACTCTGTGTTAAACCAGAAAAGCAAAAGCAGAGAGAGGAACGGCGATACAGAGCTACCAGAGATACAGCTCTCATGCAATTACAGAAATGTGCAAAAAGGAAAAATTATTTCAAGAGTCTTTTGCTTTTGCTTGATCTGGAAGCCGTCCCTCCTCTGCACAGACTCTGGCATGACAGCCCCTCTCAAGAAAAAAATCCGTAACTTTTTCTGCCCAGGTGTTACTTCCCAAACCAAATACCTAAGACACAGCCTGTCCCAGTTACTTCTCAATCCAACACAGAACATTACCACACTATGGTAGTGCTGCTCTGTGCTGTCTCCTGGACAGCAAGAGTAGTCCACTGTAACAAAATTATATCCAAAGATGGCTTACAGATAATTAGTTTGGTTTTTTATCCTCTCACACTTTCTGTCAGTGAAATGCCTCCCCAAGTTTGTAAATACAAGATTTTATCACCTCACTTCTGAAAGATGCAAGTAAGGTTTGGAAAGTATCCGTTTTTCCCTCTGCTATTCATAGCCAAGAGATCTGAGCAGGGAAGCGCTTGCTCGGCCATGACGCTGGCCCATCCCAAGCTGTTAGACATCGGTATGGGCAGCAGCCGCTGACTTGTCAGCAATCAAACCAAAGGGAAATTCCTCAAGATTTTGTGCTCTGGTTTTAGCAGGCAACAACTGCTGCCTCGTGTGGGCATATGGGCCCCTGACCCCATGGAAAAATTGTGTACATTTCTGCACAGCTACTAATACCACTTTGTCTCTATCAGGGTTTAAATTTGGCTCTGGGAGGCCAGAGGTGTTTTCTGGGACCTGCAGCATACAAAGGAGAAGTTCTATGGATGCTTCTGAAGATTGCTTTGCTGGCTCTTATTTCAGAAAACAAAATTCAAAGACACAGATGATTCCCCCAAATTTTATGCTGCTTCTGAATTTGGAGGTAGCTGGAATCAGCATGTCCATTCCCTCTTCTGAACACTCAAGAAGTTTACCCAAGAAGGAATTACACTCTTCTACATCCAGGTCAGTAGTTCATAAATTGTAAAACATCTGAACCACTAAAAGCTTGATAAAACTGAATTATCACTGAGAAAAATAAGACTCTGTCCTCTTTAACTACTTTGCTAAATTAACAGAACTGTAGACTTACATTTCTTGCACTGATTTAATACTCTGCTCTTGAAAAACAAAACCTCAGGTTTTTTGACGGTTTTTTGATTGTTTCCATCCCTGACTGGGATTCAGAGGTTGACAGAAGCTCTCAAGGGAACAGGCTTCCCACAATAACACCCCTCCTTGACTATTAGAGTTTTCAGAATGTTTTACTTAATCCCTGGACTTAGCAGCATCCCCCTGGACTATGCCCTGCATCCCACTGTACCACACCCTGCATTTGTCAATACAATTCATTTGCTCTGGTCTAAATCCACAGGCAGCATCAGTTGTGTTTAAATGGCCTCAATGTGAATTGGTTATCATAGCATCCCAGAAAAATATTATCCCTCATAGTCACCAATAACTCAGATTGGCAGAGGTCAAGGCTCGGTGTGTTAGAACAGTAGCCAGCCATGGAGGTCCACCAATAGCTTCTTCCTTTTTTATTATCAGAGGAAATTCACAGTGTAAATAATCTTCTCTCATCACAAGAAAACAAAGCACCAAGATAACTTTCAAACAGATCATCTCCTGTTTGACTTCTTAAAGAGCACCTGTCAATGTGGCATCTGAGTGCCACTCCACAACATATTAAGCATCATAGTCAGTAGCTATAATGGAAGACAACACCCCTCTACTTCTGTCTTCATCCTTGCATGGAAGAATGTGTGAGCCCATTCAAATACCTGGCTTCAAAGGAATTGACTATTTCCTTAACGTACTACTGGTTTTTCTGCTGTACATTCGGGTATTGTCAGCAAACACTGCATTAAGCCACAGCTGTTAAGCTACAGTACTCCCCTGCCTCAAAGACAATGCAGCATACAAAGCTCAGGCCAGTTATTTAAGCTATTCTGTTTTATAACACAGTGTAAATTTTTGATACCCGCATTAATACATATAATATATATGGCTGTAAAAATGTCAACCAACTTTTATGGCTTTCCTCTTCATATGAATATTCAGTCATCCATTTGTCCCTAGATCCACTTCAATCCTGAAAAAGAAAATATTAAATCATTTAATTTGTGTATTTTCTGAGAAGTTCAATAATTTCTCAAGTATGTTGTGTATGTAAATACAAAAAAATCTAACCACAGACGTCTATTCCATAGTAAAACAGAGCTCAGAAGAACAGTGATTTTATAAGCACTTAAAACAAAAATGGATTAATATGACAAAAAGGTATATTGGAGAAAGCCTTATGTTTCCTCTTAACTAATGATTTTAGTCAAAGGTCTGTGTTTTTAACTTCTGAGCTGCTATTTCAGCTCACTAAATCCCAACTGCTTTAATTAGTCTTCTGAGCCCACTATGTACCAGTACCCTGCGTTTGTACAGGTAAACTTTCCAGCAGCTACAGAGGGCAAGCATTCTTTAACCATATTTAAAACTGTATTTCCCAGAAATACTATGCATAATTCCAACAGTGACACATTAAAAAACTGTCCAAGACCACCACAAAATCTGAATATATATTTCTTGCAGTGTTTCCTATAGATACATGATCAGTTTAGTTATGAGGGCCACAGAGAACAGAGGGCTGCAGCATCCCTCCTGTGAGAGGGGCTGAAAGAGTTAGGGTTGCTCAGCCTGGAGAAGAGAAGGCTCTGGAGAGACCTTACAGCACCTTCCAGTACCTAAAGGGCTACAAGAGAGCTGGAGAAGAACTTTTTAAATGGGCATATACCATAAGACAATGTTTCAAACGAAATGAGGAGAGATATAGATTAGATGTTAGAAATAAATTCTTTACTGTGAGGGTGGCAAGGCATTGGCACAGGTTGTCCAGCGAAGCTGTGGATGTTCTATCCCTAAAAGTGTTCAAGGACAGGTTGGATGAGGTTTTGAGCAACCTGACCTAGGGGGTGGCAACCCTGTCCATTACAGGGAGGTTGGAACTAGATGAACATTAAGTTCCTTCCAACTCAAAACATCCTAAGATTCTATGTTAATCTGTAAAACAAAAAAAGCATACAGAGATTCAAATATTGTGTTTTGTGAGGCTCCTTCAGGTTTAAAAAAATAAACAAACCCAGCAGTCCAACTTTTTAGAAAAGCCTTGGGGGAGAAAAAAATCTTCAGATGTTCGAAATTTAAATAATAGACAGGATGTCTTAAACCCCTTGACAAAATATGTGCATGTATCTGGAAGCAAATGCTACTTACATATGTCTCTCTTAATAATGGAAATGGTGTGAATTCAAGAATCTAAATCTGCTGTCAGAATTACTATAAACAATCTGCTGTTATTTTTCTGTCATTCAAAATAAGGTCATCCTTCAAGTACCAGTAGAGCATCACCTACCTGATTTTAAACCACATTCCAGTATTTCATTACTGCTGTATATATGACAACATGACAGGTTTCCAAATACCACACAAACTTCTACAGTGAAAAGAAGACAAGAAGCTTCCTTAAGAAAATAGAAATAGTCCATTCATATAGTGTGTTATTGTCATACCAACTGAACATCACACACTTGTATTTTATTCCTAAGAAAATATTAAGTTTAATAGAAGAAAGTAAGTTTCAAATATTTGTATGAATTATAAAAAGCTGCAAAGTCACCACAAACACTGACCTAACTGAATACAACAGACCATAAGCATGCTAACTGTTGCAGACCATTTGTCTTCTCTTGTGCATCTTGTAGACTCTCTTTCCCTTTTGTTATTTCATCTACCTTGGCATTATTTGGATTACTTCAAAATTTCATGTAGCAGATCCCTTTTTTTTTTTCCTTTTAAAACTGCACACTTGAAGAACCACCTTTAAGTTTATAACTGCTCTTTCTTCTGTGCTCTTGTCCAAAAATGGGACAACTGGACCACATTTTCCATATCCAGGACTCACACGATGTGGTCACCTAACCTGTACAGGAAATTACTTAGTCATTTCCTTTTTTTAAATTAAATGCAATGTATCCAAAAGCTTCACGGAGTCTCCATGAGAGAAGACAGAGTTTGACCTGTAATTGTTTCCAGTTCTCCAGGTTTTCTCATCATTACTCCTCTCTACATGCACACAGACGCACATGTTCCTACAACACAACTTTGCTTCAAGTTACACACCAACGCTGCAGTCCTATTATGTTACGGTGGCTATGGTGACACAGCAAACACGGGTCTGTGTTTTAGACAGAACAAACCTCTATCCAACCAGCCAGAGCTGCAGCTGTGCTTTTGCGTTATTAAATCATGTCCAAGGGTCCTCCTCAAGGAAAAGCGACTTCTTTAGCAATGACAAGTCACTGGGTTTGCTTATTAATGCTCTTTGGGTCAGCACAATTAACAAGCATTAAATTGCCCACATCCTTGCACCACTGGGTGTTCTCCTCTATGGAAGAGCTTCTATTTTAGGCTGCTTTTGAGAAGATTAAGAGCAAACTCTTTTCCCCTGAAAATGACATTTAACTAGTAACTTTGCAAATGTTTGCCCCGATTTTGAAAAGTGCTGAAAAGCTGTGACTTCATATGAAAGCACTTCAAAATGCATATGAAAAAAGGGCCCATCCATTCTGCCACACGTGTCACTGCCATGAAACCCGCTATGGACTTTGGTTTTCAGTCCCTTGCAGTGAAATGTTACTTTCTACTATCAGGAATATAAAATCAGACATTGAAGTCCAAGTAGAAACATCTTCCACTTGCACCAAGCAGGTTTCATAGTAGAAGAAAATCTACCCAATGAGACAGCTGCACAGTATTTCCAATTTGAAACCTTTAACGCTAAAAAGGCTCTGCAAATACAGAGTGAAAGCACAAACCATAATCTTCAACCAAAATAATGAAATTTAAGCAGCAAACACAGAATTATGTCCTCTTCTACCCAAAGCCTAACTTTCACCTTAAAACAGTGTTTTAGGACCCCAGGAGTTTATGAATGCCACCAAACATTAGATTACTTTTTCTACAGCAAGAAGAAACCAAATACATTTGGTTGGCAACACCTAGTCCATTTTGAAAACCTGTCTTGATCAGATGAGATGCCCTGGTAGTGCCACCCCAACCAGCAGAAACACTTACTGGTGGAGCTGAGCAAGACTCCTGGACCACATTAATGAGCATGAGAAGAGTTTCAGGACAATCATGCTGAGTGTATTATTTCAGGAAAGACAGAAGTCCCTATGGATGCAGAGGTAGCCATATCTCTACAAATAGAACACTTTTGAACATATAAACCCATGTTAGTTCATTAGCTCACAAGTCCACACTGGTATCACTTTTACTTATCTTTTGCATACTGATAATTTTAAAGGAAACTCACATTAATACATTAACAAATTACTCCTTGTGCTATTTTTACTCTTATAATTCAGATAGGTATGGGAATGTACATTTGGAAAATACCAACTAATTTGCAAAGTTAAGTCATTTGCTGAATCAGGATTTACTAACTTTTCCCGCTACAAAACAAACTCCTTATTTGGACATAGTGGAGCTAGTCACCTTCTTACATCATCTGTTTTATTTTCAAAGTATGCACTTTTCTTCTTTAAAGCCCTTAGATCTGTATTTTGACTTGTGCAACCCCTTTCAAGGGCCCTGAGTCACACCAAACTTCCCCAAAACCAGCACGACTTCTCCCAAACTCATCAAGACCACCCTTGCCATCAGGTAAGGCAGGATCACTGAAAGTTCAGTTTCAGCACTACTCAGAGATGAACACAGGTTATCCTCAACCCAGTGTTAAGGATAACTACCCTTGTAGTAACAGTAGTCACACACTTGTCCTTTTTCCCTACGTTTCTGACTCTTGCAGGGACATTCATACACTTCATAAAGTGACATTTTGCACAAGCTACACATAAAATATACATTAACCACAAGATACAAATCCACAGCAGTCCTTGACACTTAAAACTGACACAGGATAGGAGATGCTGGCATACAGTCCAGCACTGTATTGAGCAAATCCCAAAGTCTTCCTCAGCTGCAATTCAAGTGTCTCCCTTTCTGGACCTGGGTCTGGTCCCCAGGATATTTTTAAACTGAGTGCTGCACCACTGTAACTGAAACCAGCCAATACGCTTTGCCACAAAGCTTTGCAAAAAAAAAAAAAAAAAAAGTGAAATTCCAATACAAGGCACTGTCCCACCAGCAGTCACTACAAGCTGCAAGACAAATCCCAGAGTACAGTCTAAAAGTCATTCAGTTTAGGTTAAGTGTAACTGCAGACCTCACAAGACCAAAGGATCACTTGCTATGCATCCTAACAACTGCAGTCATAAGGGTTATTCTGTCTCCAGCTGAAGTTTTTGCTAATTTTTGATTGCAACTACTGTTCAAACAAGGACTTTAATATGCCAGCCCCCACACCAACATCTTTGCTGCTCTGCTGAAACATCTTAACAAAAATATCTAAAGTTGCTCAAAATATTTCTGAAAATTACCTTAATGTTTCAACTTCTGGTTTTCAGATACTTTAATAAAAGTAAAGAGAAGCAGGATGTAGAGAGTGGGATGCTTGTTGCTAGGTGATACCTAGCTCTCTTGAACTCCTAAAGACTGAAATATTTATCCAGACTCCCACAAAGAATGACATCTAGCAGAGAGAAGAGACACACACATGTACTAAAGTACAGCAGGATTCAAAGTAAGAAGCAGCAACTCTGCCACTTGTTTGGTCCCTAGGGCACCTGAGAGGACTGCCGTCTGGGATGGGGATGATACAGCTCCTCCTAAACATATGCCCCAGTTTTCCCTAAGACTACATGGAGCGATGCCTCCAATACATTAATGCCAAACCAGAAAGACGTCAATGCCATTGGAATCATGGTAGCACAAGTAAATACATCCTTGGCTATCTGACTATAAAGCAGTGTTGTTTTCCTGATGTTTGGGGTACTTTTCCCCAAATCACTACACTCTGACAACAGGTTTCCATTGAAAAAAAGCATGCAGTTGGCCAAATGTGGATGAACAATTAATCAACTAAACACACTAAACCTTCCTGCCATGTTCCTCCTGCTCCTCACTTTAAAAGGTTTATAA